GGGGGGGGGGGGACTGGACTACCGAAAAACGTTATTAACGGTGTAGCTCATCAGGTTGGCCTCGCAACCCCCCCCTACCCACACACACATGCGACTAAACGTAAAAAGACGCATTTTCAAAATTGGCTGCTAATTTTAGTACTGTGAAGTCATCACTTCCTGGGATACCCACAAACTATTTTTATTAGGCGGTAGAGTTACCAAAGATTCTCTACTACACTACACGATCTTTGGAGATACTGTGTGGAACAACATGTTGAGTCAGTGGCTTGACTTATTATCCGTATCGATGCGTTTCGCACGCAAACATTTCACACTTGCAGCTAACTGCAGCTCGGTAACCATGCTCTGGTGATAAAAGATCGCTTAGATCGTTGATGCTCAGAACAGTAAGAACGCTGACACTTGAAATAGAAACATGGTAAGTAAACACAAAGACAAAGCGCGTTAAAATTGCCGTAAAATACGCCCGGAGATCCCACCCCCTCCCTCTCAGGCCGATTAAAACAATGCGCAGAAGAGATAGGCAGCAGCACCACCGGAACACTGCATCATATCACATTACTGGTACGTCTCCTGGGAAAAAAATGCACCAAACGTCGTGCAAAGGTAGGTATACACGATCTGTGGTGCCATGCAGTTGGCTATGTTTAGATCAGGTAGTCACGTGATCGGAGAGGTATCTCGGTCTGACGTCACACAAGATGGCCGTCTTACCTAAAAATAGTTTGCGTCGTTCTGCATTCAGTCGCATGTCCCCCCCCCCAGCCTTCAACACACCACCTAATCCTAATCCTCCCCCAAAAATCGTGACTTGCGATAGCCATGACAAGGCATGTTTGGTGTTTGCAAGCGTGTGACAAAATGACTGTCTTCATTCAACCTTGATCTGGGTTGGGGAGTGACGAGACGACTGATGTCTTGACTGCTGCACCGGCCCGTATGATGAAATGACCGTCGGACAAAATGACTGGTACTTCCCTGCACCTACCCTTACTTCTACCCCTACCCCAAACCATGGCACTCCTGTACAATTGCGGTCCCGTTTAGGGATACTCATTCTACTGACCCCACCAACAATTACTTCTGGTTCTAAACCAATACTTTTTCATGCGCGTGCCCCTGAAACCCCCCTTGCCTTTTACTGCTCATTTTGTAGGCTAGATCTACCGATAAAACATTGATACCGAAAACGGAGTGTCTACGTACACGGTAACTGGGTACCTAGCCTTAGTCTTAGTGTCTATGTACACTGTAACTGGCAACCGGGCACGTAGTTTCAGTGTCAGGTACACGGTAACCAAGCACGTAGCCTCAATATCTACGCACACGGTAACCGGGCATGTAGTCTCAGTGTCACGTAACTCACGTTCAGAACTCCAAGTTCAGTTTTTGTCATCTGGTGTTGCCTTCATCCCCACCCCTCCCCAGACTGTACATCTTAAAAATCAATAATCCCCCCATTCCAGAGCCCTACACTACACTATACTTCACAGCTCACAGTCTTTGAATGAACTTTGGTGACCCCAACCGGTACTCACAATGTGATGCACATGCGCAGATTCACGGACTGGTCACGATGGCGACCCCGACAAGACGCTTGTACGACTTTCTTTTCGAAGGCCCTTTCTTTTTTTTCAGCAAGTGACAGCACAGGACAATAATATTGATTTATTTTCATTCCGGTTACCGTGTTCGTAGATACTGAGACTAGGTGCCTAGTTACCGCGTATGTAGATACTGAGTCTAGGTGAGACTAGGTGCCCGGTTACCGTGTAGGTAGACACCCCGTACCAAATATTTAAATCAGTATCGACATCCAGTAGTCTTTGATTGTGCGCTTTATTGATGCTAGTCTAGTCTAGATCTAGATTAGAATCTAGGTCTAACGGGACCGCAATTGTACAGGAAGGCCCAAACCATAGCCCTAACCCTTGGTCTTTATTTTACTGTTGTTTCATAGTCACTATAACATGATAGTGATTACTCGTTACGGAAGTCCTCCCCCAATGGTCTGCGTGACTATTCACTCTGCTGACTTGGTATACTCTTATTCTAATTCAGTCAGTCTCCTTGGTGCTGGAAACTATTTTTACTCCTACTAAGGCTACACTGTAGACCTACCAAGCAAGGTAGATCTAGATTAGATCTAGATCTAGATCTAGAATCTCACTACTGAGATACACACACACACTTAACCCGTTCATATGCAGTTCTGACGGCTGTAAAGAGAAATGCCACCTCTATTCTCACCCGGGATGATAATAGTGCAGGCGAGTCTTTTGGCTATTCTCACCCGGTGCGCGTTCACCGTTATAGCCTAGATCTAGGCCAACAAATTTTGCGTTCACCCTAACCCACAGAATTCTACACTGCGATAACAGAAACATTGTAGAATTCTGTGCCGTGAACAAACGTTCCATTACAACTGTAGCCTAGCCTACTAAAAGCGTACAATTTTGTCTGTGGGCAGTGGAGAGAGAGAAAGATAGAGAGAGAGGAGTAGCGCGAGAACTTCCGGTCAAAACAAAATGGCGACCCGCGTAGTTCGGCTCGATTCGAAAAGTTAAATAGCTGTAGCATCTTTGTAGACAACCAAATTAATTTACTTTTGTGTTTTAACATCATTTTTTAACTTTGTTTTGGTCAATTTGATCGTCCACACCGATAGACAGTATTCAGAAAGAGACAGAGAGAGAGAGAGATAAGGGAGGAGTAGATCTTGCGAGAACTTCCGGGCAAAACAAAATGGCGACCCACATAGTTCGGCTCGATTCGAAAAGTGAAATAGCCATAGCATCTTTGAAGACGATCAAATTAGCTTACTTTTATGCTATAACGTAATTTTTTCTTGGCTTTTATCAATTGGATCATCCACACCGATAGACAGTATTCCAAAATGAGGAAAAGCAGGTCTTGTTTCGCACCGGGTGAGAATAGCCTACGCTGGCAATTCTCACCCGGGGTGAGAGGTAGATCTAGATCGTTTTTCTATTCAAGACTATTCTCACCCCGGATGAGAATAGCCCGGCTGGATTGTACTTTACCGGACCACCCGTCTCGGCCCGTGATTACTACGCACGCCTAGCCTAACTACGCACTCATAGTACTCTGCGTGCGGACAAAAGGTAGTTCCGCGGGCGACTTCGCGCACGCACAGCGAAGTCAGCGGCGACTGGCGAGGCGAGGTGAGCGAGAGGTGGTGGTGGTTGAGAGTGGGCAGGGGATTTAACTTTGGTGGACCATTGTGTATCATACCAACAGTGGGGTGGGGTGGGGGGGTTCAGGGGGGCTTGCCCCCCTGGAAACTATAATAAAGAAAACACACAAAAATGCGAAACAATAACATGAGCGGACAGTCGTGTTTACATATCAATGGGGGGTTTCAGGGGGGCTAGCCCCCCTGGTAACAATAATT